AACTTATCGAATCGGTCTAAAATCATTCGGTCAATTTTTTACCAGATGTCCCAAAATTTATGAGAACAGCTGTAATGGGCGGCTATGATTTCATTAGTAAAATTAGGAGTAATTTCGGTTTAATTTTTGATCGTCGCTCTTAGTCAATCAAAATCAAGAATCTGCCGGTCCAAATTGTTGCGGCAGCTATGGTTAATCATTGAGGCAGATTAAAATGAAATCGGATTAAAATTTTTTGGGGACATTTTTTAGGGTTAGGGTAAGTGTTAGGGTTTCTGAACATTTTTACTTAGAGTACCCGATCCCGTTTACTTAGTACGTTTTTGAGCACAAGATTTTTATTAAGAAAAACATAATAAATCTATTTTTAGAAAAAAAAGATCCCGTTATAGTTAGATTTATTCTTTTAAAAAATAAGCACGCATTATAGTAAAATTGTCCCAGGAACATTAGTAAAATCCGGCCTAATTTTTTGATCGTCGCTCTTAGCCAATCAAAATCGAGTATATCATATTGATTAGCGTATTATAAATATATATATAATTTTTTGCAGATCATTCATATATAATACGCGCTTGTGTCAATAAAAATTTTTTGAATTTATAACACTGATTCTAAATAAAACATATTCTATATAATAAAGAAATGTAACATCCTTTCACCTGTCGCATCTGTTTCAGCTGCTGCATCTTTTTCTCCTGTCACCACTACTTCACCTGGTGCATCTTTTTCACCTGTCACAACTATGGTTTTTTCATGTGTCAGAGTCGTCGACGCGTTTTGATTTACTATTAATCAGAATTTTGTCGGAATTTCCAGTACACGCAATAAAAAATAAATATATGTCGCAGCTGATGCTGAAAACGGCTGATGCTGAAATCCGGGGTCCCTTTTTAAATCTATAATATCTACTAAAATTCACATATACTTTTTTACTAATAAAACTACCCCCTAACCCTAACCTAACCCTATAAAAAAACCCCTAACGAAAAGGCCCAAAAAATTTTTAAAAATTTAATAATAAAATAATCGAAATTTCAGCATCAGCCGTTTTCATCATCAGCTGCGACAATATATAAGATTCAAACTTCTTGGAGCTCTGAACTTTCAACTCATAATACCATTTTACTTACACTAAACTAATACTATGAAAAAAAAAATACATATAAGTAAGATTCACTATACAAGTTCTAGATTAGGGTTAAGAAGTGGAGGATTTTCAAATAGACTGGTAGTTGTAGCAAAAGTTTCTACTTGATCTTGATCCTAAATAAATTGCACCCAGACTGATGGTCTTAAATTTGAAAATTTCAGGTAAATATTTTACATGAAGGTATCACAGTAGAATCAAAAGCTACATTTGAATTTTTTATTAAAATGAAAGCAAGCGATCGTAATTCATTTTATCAATCTTGTAAAGGCGTAAATAATATAAAATACAGGTTGATATATTTTATAAAGGAATATTTTTTACGTACTAATTACATAATATAAATTATCATGCTAACTTGGGGTTTTATTTTTATTTTTTTCAGGAAATAACCCTCGAGCAAATAACGAAGATACAGCACAAAAATTAGTTCTTGCGGATCTAAATCCTATTCAAGGTGATTGATCAAAGATGGTTTGAAAATTACCGATAACTTATTAAGTTTTATTAGATAAAGTGGGAAAAATTTTATTTCGATGATGATTACTTTGTATTGCTTAAATTTATAATCTATAATAAAATGTGTATTTTATTTAAACTATTACTGTATATATTATTAAAGTGCATCTTGGCAAAATGAGGAAAATTAAAGAAACCAAGCAATTTGAATTTTTTTTTTAAAAAAATTATTTAAATGGTTTTCTATTTAATTTTTAATGCGTTATATAGCTTGTTTTTATCTACAAGCTTTGAAGTTTCAAGGCGAGAAAATTTAATTTTAAGATTTTTGTAAACTTGAGATAAAACAAAGACTGCACTTAAAGAAGACTGGCGTTTAAAAAATGTTCTTTGAGAATTGGTTGTCTAGCAGACATTAATAGAATTAAAGTTCCCATTGTTACAAAAATTTTTGATCGAAAATTGGTCGGAAAATGAAATGAAAGAAATATATAATTGCAATATTTATGTCAGAAAGTTGCTGATATTATTAACTTTTAAAATCATAATTTTCTTTATAGATGATGAAAGATGGAACGAAGGATTGATTGGATTCTCGAACAAAGAAAAAAATTTTAATTAATCATAAAGCATTTCAGCTCTATAAAGAATTAATATCATTATTTCTTTTGTTAGCAACGTAGATGAAATAAAAAAGGCTTACATTGAATGGAAAATGTCATTTGATTGAAAAATTAAAGCTCCTAAATTGTTTCAAGGGTATATTTTAGAAATCAGGATTTATTTCCGGAGAATTGAAAACGAAGTATGTTTTATTATAGATCAAATTTACCTATACAGGCACGAACCTATAAATAAAATGATTACAATGGCGTCAAATGTTTCATCACATGAAAAAAACTTAGATTCATTTTTTTTTAAAGTGAGCTATGTCAAAATATACATATTTAGTTTACCTAAATCAATGACGATTAATACAACCTAATTAGTCTTTTTTTACTCAAATAGAATTATTGGATGGTAACAAATTTAAATTCTATTTATAAAATCTACATAGTTCAAGAGTTATTTTCTTAATCAAGTCCTCAAGTTCTTGTCGAATTTAATTAGGACGATAATTTAAATTTCTAAGAGTTCGAATTGTTCGAATTTAGATTATCTCGGTTTAGAATCAAGAAAAGGGCTTTTTGTCTTTACAAAAAAAAAAAGAAGCTTTATGCAAGATCTTAGTCTAAACGACTGTTGATTTAAATGATGCTTTAAAAACTATACATTTCGAGTTCAATTTTCGGCTCTTACATTTTTCTTTATTCATTTTATTTTATTTATTTTATTTCTAATTAATTATCTTTCTACTATGCACATTACACATTATATCTTATCTATCAATACCTTGTTAGTTATCCTTCGGGTACGGTAACAATGTTGTGATGAAAAAATTAGCTACATTTCCGACCTAAATGAGATCAAATGGTCAAACGGTAAGATAATTAACCACTTTAATAAATATATATATATAAATCTTTATTTATGTTCGTTATATTGAATTTGCACTTTTATATACGATATATTGCGTGAATAAGGATTTGAATCGGTTTAGTTGACTAAAAAATTTTTATAGTAAGCTGCTAGGTTCGTCTAGGATGGATCGGATTCAGATCCCGTTCCTATTCCAACCGTAAAGTCGGTTTGGGCCAAAAAATTCGGATTGTTGAACTTGATTGGCTTGTGTTACTTTAATTCTTTGCCTTAACGTTAACCTTATCGTTATTTGTTACCCAATAATTATGCTAGCGCTATGATCAGATTTTTGTGAAATATCATTATTTTACTATTCACCGTAATATTACACTTCTCTTTCTAATTTTTTTTAACCGAGAACTCTTCGTAGAAATTATTTCTAAAAAGTTACGCTCGATTTTTTGCAAATGTTCTAGCAAAGTTTCAATTTGTATGTTTAAAATGTAGGCTTTTGCCCATTTAATTAGTAAAATTTAAATATTTTACAGTATAAGATGAATGTTCAGAACTTACATATTAATGGAAATTTTAAAGCATAACTTTATTATTTAAAATTTTATAAATATTTTGTGAAAGTTTCTCTGTAATTCTTTGATTTTTTTAATAGGTTGAATCTTTTTAAAATTGATCGTTAAATAAATATTTTAAAACGAAAGAACTGTAATGATAATTAATATTTATTTGTGCAACATAAAAATCAAATACAGTATATAAAATCCTATAGTTTGCCATAGATCCATGACTACCGTATTTCACGGGCTAATTATACTCACTAGTTTTTGTCTAGGCATTTATCAATGCGGTGTTAGTATAGGTAGTGCAAAATATAAAATGACCCATTACAATATTAAGATACCCAAGTATAAAGCTCTGGAAATTCTACAGGGGAGAGTAGTTTAGCCCGTGAAATAGGTACATTTATCGATCCTGCTTAAGGTTAGAGACCCGTAAGGTTAAAGACCCGTGTGAAGGTTCAAAACCCTCCAAAGCTAAAATATATATAATACGATGCTCGATTTAAAAAAGAGAATATCTCACTCTGCTCGTTGCATAATACCTTTATGGGAGTGCCGTTTAATTTTTTAGGGGAGAAGCGGTTTATCACGGCTAAATATTATTTACAGTATAAATGATATGATTGGCTGCTGATTTTATCACTAAAGGAGGAGTCTTCTAATAACAAGGCATTAAATAATAACGGCGCACCCCCTACTTACCAGCTAAACTACCTTCCTTAATAACTAACTTTATAAATTAAATTCAAAATCCCTTAATAAAACATTCATTCCGCATAATTAGCTACGCCTAAAGTTGATATGTCATGTATAAACATTGCTCCTCCAATCCTGGGTTAATACCTGATCATTCCATGTTAAACTTCGGATTCAACCCGAATTTCGGACTCGGATCAGAAAAAATAAAATCTGGGACACCTAAAAATTTGCTCATTTTTCCCGAAACCTTTTTTTTCGTTCTAAGAATTACCTAACTTTTCGGAAACTATTTCGTTATCCTTGGAACTTCGATACAGAGACAACGAGGTAGTTTTCGAAAGTTAGATAATTCTTAGAACGAGATTAGTGATTGTACTCGATCAAAAAACGTTACCCGGTTAACCGGCAAGTATACCCGCGGGTTAACCGAGTGATCGACGGGTATACTCGGGTATAA